GTTTCATAGACATTTAATCCCATGACTCATAGAGAGTTGGTATTCATGCAAAGAGAGTTTCATCCCCATGAAACTCACTTCTTCTCTCTCTTGTTAAAAAACTTGCCAAAAAAGCTTACGTGGCAACTCATTAAATACAAATAAAACTCCTACTGAGACTGAGGATGTTGCATGGATGGACAGATGGAACTCCAAGCACACAATTAAACAAAAATAAATAAATAAACATGTGTCCACTCAGTAACTCATAAATGGCTGGCATGGATCATAAGTAGAGGATGCCACATAGATGCATAGATGGAACTTGAAGCACACAATTAAACAAAAAAAGAAATAACAAAGATGATCTGGCATCCCATGGATTGAGAGAAATAGAAGTTATGACACTTATTGGGTTTCATCTATATAGGTTATATAAATAGATGTCTCAATTCACTTATGCTTGTTCTTTAATTTATAACACTTAGTTATAAAAGTGATCGTCATTCCTACAATACTTGCGGAATTTATCTCCCTTGCCTCGAAACTTTGAATGTCCTTTATAACCATTGGAATTTTTGCCTCTATTGTCATTGTTTGATTTATTTTCTGTCCTCCCACAAATAGACAAAGCTTTTCCACTAGAAGCAAAACCTTCAAAAGACATTTAATTCATCTTTCCCTTGGTGTGCAAAGTCTCATAAACTTCATACAGTGTTAGAGTATCATGACTATATAATAAAGTATCTCTGAAGTTTGTAAAGGAACTAGGCAAAGAACACAAAAGAATGAGACCCAAATCCTCACCATGATAATCTACCTCCATAGCGTGTAGATCTAAAATTATCTCCATGAAGACCGAAAGATGGTTAAGAATAGAACCACATTTTGCAACTTATGCGTATGTAACTTCATCTTCATATGCATGTCAAATCTTAGACATGCAAATTGACTCTAACTTGAACCATAGAGCAGCTGCAATTTTCTCCTACAAAACATCTTACAAAATATTATTTGATAGATGAAGCTAAATTTGAGTCATGGACTTACGATATTTTCTATTCTCCTCATTGGTCCAAGACTTCGATCTTTGTTACTGAATTTATCATGAGCATAATCCACTTTAGCCTTTGTAAGAATAGCTCACATCTTGACTTGCCATAGATCAAACCTTATTTCACAATCCAAAGGTGGAAGATCATACTTCAGCAATAAACTGAAGATAGAATAGAGCTCCTACTACCAATCTTGTCTACACTTAGCAAAATTTCAACGAACTTTTCTGAACAGCAACGTGAGAATCTGTCGCCGGGTCTCACTTCGCATACACTTGAGCACCAAAATTGCAGCGGAAGCTTCACCTTGGGATGGAAATGGATCAGATTCGTACAGAATTGGAGATGTCATCTTTTACCACATTTTAATTTAGATTCAAATACGGATACAGAATTTTTTGAATACGAATACAAAATGGATGTCTAGGATTTGTATTTTTATTCAGATATTTACTCAATTCAACTCAAAGTGCATACCGTTAAATTCAAAATACATGAATAGAATTTTACTACTAAGTTCGTCAATAACCAAAGTGAAATAAAATCAAAGTACACTTTATTAATATATAATATTGAAGTGAACAAAATTATAAGAGATAATATTTAATAAAATGATAGGTTAAAGTGAAGAAATTTATATAAGAATGGTAGGTAACAAGTAACCATTTTGTTTTATCATTTTTTTGTAATTCCAAATTATTACACAAGTACTCCCTCTATTCCAAAATATAAGTCGCTTGAACTTTTTTTTTACATAGAATTTGCTATGCATCTAGACATATATTATATCTAAATACATAATAAAATGGATGTACTGCCTCTGTTCTAAATTATATGTCATTTTGACTTTTTTAGTTCATCCATTTTGTTATGTATCTAGACATACTATTTATCTATATGCATAGCAAAATTGATGTATAAAAACGTCAAAGCGACTTATAATTTGGAATAGAGTGAGTACCAAAAAAAGTCAAAGTAACTTATAATTTGAAACGAAAGAAGAACTAAAGTACGTAGGTATATACCATACACAAAATAGCTCATAAAAAATGATATAGTTATCAATGAATATTTAATAATTAAATATACCAATTAATCCAAAATTATTTATATACTTTTTTGTGAAATTATAAATTATGTAAAATGATTTACATCGGCAAAAAATAAAATATTAAAATTATTTGGAACAACAAATATATTAGGTTTAAAGCAAATTAGAAAAATACTAAAAAATAATTTAATATTCATGTATCATTAATAGTATTAAATGAATATTAAAATTTACTTATAGATTTATTACAAAATAATTTCAGTGCATCATTAGTAATATTAAAATTAAATAACTAGCCACTAGTCATGGAGAGAAAAGTCTTGTTCTTGGCATATAAGGATAAATGTCGGATATTCCATATTTTATCGAATATGGATCTAGAATCAGATAGAGAAAAATAATGAAAAACGAATTTAGATACATCCATTTAGTATCCACGTTAGAATCGGATATGAATACATATATCCATATTATGAGTTTTAAATGATGCAGATTTGGATAATTTAATTCCGAGACATCCATTCCATCCCTAGCTTCACCATATTAGGGCAAGTACATTGCTACACGTCAGCGGTCTCATACTCCGTCTCATGCAATGACACGTAGGATTTTTGTTTATGTGGACAAAAGAGAAAGGTGAGAGAGAAAGAGGTCGTTGTTTCGTGAAACAATCACCCCACAAGCTAATATTTAGGATTATAGACAACTATTATACTATTGTATGAGTTGTTGTTACATGCAATTCACAAGTTTACTTTTATTTTGTGCATATAAATTTAGGAACCGTGAATTACTACGAGACAATTTAAAAACAACTATTATATATGTTATCTATTAAGTCATCGTCTTAAAATTACGTAGCACTGTATGAGACCAGTTATGAGACATCACCGATGTACCCTTAGGCAACAACCTCGCCTCGACTTGCGTGTAGCAGTTGGAACTTCTAGCAGCATGAGGTTGTTCGCTTCTGATTGAAGCCGCAGCTAACTTGATCAACGTGAGGACAGCTTTTTCTTAATACGCGTGCATGTAGTAGGCAAGTGGCTTTGTAGATTGGAACTCCAGCTTCAGGTTGACGCAGAAATCCGACTTGGACACGATGTTAGCACACGTCAACTTGCCAATTGAGGGCACGACAAGAAAAAACGCATGAGGTGGCCGCAGCTTGACACTGAAATTCTATTCCTTTTTCAATCTTATTTCTGGTTTTAGATATCACTTGGTAGAAAATAATACAATAAAGATAGAAAACGAGAAAACATATTTTTACGTGGAAAAGAACCCTGGACAGCAACCGATGATTTTCACTATTTGAGAAGAATTTACCAGAACACAAGAAATACGACGAGTTATCTCTATATTCTTTCCGTACGGCTTACAAGATGTATTTATAGGGTGGATAGACTGTAGTCCAATATGAAAATAAATTCACTAATTAACATAACCCGAACCATGGACCACCACTAACGTTAAAATTCAGATCATACCCCAACAACAACTGCTTCACCTCCCATAGATAAATGGTGCCTGAACCTTGCTGGCCCGTAGCTGGGACATCCGTCTCAGCTCATCGATAGGGTGCGTCCACTCCTGTCCTAGGAAAACAAGACTGTTTAGAGGCCTAGGTTTGAGATCAAATGTATATATCAAGATTTCTAAATGGTTATTGGGCTGGACTCAAATATTAGGCCTTTGGAATCAAACTAACCAAGTAAAATTTAGGAAAAAGTCCACATTACATCTCTCATTTTTTGCGAAAGTCTGCTTTTCCTCTCTGAACTCTAAAAACGGGTAAACTGCCTACCTGAACTTTTAAAACCGTTCGTTTTACCTTCCTGACCGGTTATAAGCGGTTTTCAAAGACGATTTTATCTTTTTCTATTTTATAACCGGTTTTCAAAGACGGTTTTATCTTTTTTTATTTTATTTATTTTGGCTGGATCTTTGAAAAATCATAGTAAATCACAGAAAAATCATAAAATGAAAAATCCAATTTTGTTGGACTTCACATGAGTAGAATACATGAACATATAATATGGTATGCTTGAGTACAATTTTTTTTTGTAATTTTAGATCTATACTTTTCTGTAATTAATTTATAACTGTAGTTTTTATGGTCCAATTATGGTGAAATTTTTATGGTGAGTTAATTATTATATGCTTGAACTGTAGTAAAAATTTCATACTCATTGAATCATGTATAACTTAGTAATAGATTTATTTAGATGTATGCTTATTAAAAAATCTAAAGCTATAGAAAAAAATTATACTAAAGCATACTATATTATATGTTCATTGTATAGTCTGCTCATGTGGAGTCCAACAAAATTAAATTTTTATTTTATAAATTTTCTATGATTTACTATGATTTTTCAAAGATCCAACCAAAATAAATAAAAAAAAATAAAACCGCCTTTGTAAATTGCTTATAACCGGTTAGAGGTAAAACGAACGGTTTTAAAAATTCATTGAGATGGTTTATGTGGTTTTAGAGATCAAAAGTTCAGGGATGTGGTTTATCTAGTTTTAGAGTTTAAAAATTGAAGGAGATAACGTGGACTTTTTCCTAAAATTTGAGTTGTTGAGAAATGAGTACCGACAGTAATTGAAGTTTTTGGTTTTGGTTCTTTCTATTATGATCCGATTCTTTTGGTTGGATTTTCGATTATTCTTTTTTGTTTGAAATGAGTGTTTGTTTGGATTGAGATTGGATTGAGGCGTGGCAGGCTAGGAATCCTAGCCGGGGCGTCTTAAATTGGACGCCTAGAGAGTCTGGACCCGGCAGCTTTGTGAAGCTGTGAACCAAACAGGCCCCGTGAAACAGGAGTCTGTGGAAGGCTGTGGAAGCCACAAGCACCACGGCCGTAGAATTCCCCTCGTGTCCGCTCTTCAGCTCTCAGAAGGCAAAGACGATGCTGCCGCTGAGGTCCGCCGCCGCCGCGCCGTGCTCGGTTGCAGGACTGCTGCTCCACCGATTCTCATCCTGCTCGTCCTCTTCTGTCTATTCGGTCCGCCACCACGCCTCGTCTGCTGTCTCCTCCCAGCCCACCACCTGCCCCACCACTAGCTGGTCCCCTTCCCCACATTCCAGCAGCCCCAGGATCCGGGGGTTTGCGGCCTGGGCATCGGCGCCGGGGCAGGCGGGGTCTGCGGATTCCCCCGCTACAAAGGCGCTAGAAGCTAAGGTACCTCGCTTGCCTCCCCGGTTTAGCTTTCTGATTCTAATCTTTGTTTTGTAATTCAGATGCCAGGATAAGCGTTCCTATACTGTCGTTTGCCATGGCGACTGACTGATTTGTTTCTGTTTCTATGGTTTCTTGGCAGATCAAGGAGCAGCTGGAGGCGGACACAGTCACGGTTGTGGATACCTCTGGGGATGGCCGTCATGTCTGGTGAGTAACAATTCCCCCACCCACCTAAAAACGTTGATATTCTGTTTCTTTACATTTGCTGGGATGCCAAGAAACAAATGTGCTACATGCTCAGTAGGTCTTTGAAACTCACATGGACATGGTGAATGCATATGCATTCTGTGAGTCTGTATCAAAGAAAACAGGGTCATTTGTAGTTGTATCAATGTGTGGATGTGTGCTATATAGTTCGCAACTTGTTCTTTTAGAAATGTTCCTATGTGAAGCATTGTTGGTGATTGATGTGGAGATGATAGTGTTTTTTGCTTAAAGATTTGAGAAATGTTTGTTTTTGGCATTGTAGTGCTACTACTACCAGAACCAAAAAAAAAAAAAAAATTGTAGTGAGTTGCCATCTTGCTTTATCTTCAGTTTGTGTGCTGAATACATTTACATGAATTGAAGTGTGTTTAAGATATTTCTATTCCATAAGTGGGAGTTTTTTGACAACATTTTATTATGATGTCTATGTAATCAAAAGTAACCAAGGTATTAGATTCTAGTTTAGTTGTCACTTGTAAGTTCTGAACGAAAGTTAACCAAAGACAAACTGGGACCTTTTCTCAAAAAGTTTGCTTTTATATGCTGAAATAGAGGATTTTCAATTTCATTTACCTATTATAAGCCAGTTTAGTATGGCATGGGATTAGTTGTTGACTTAAAGAAGTTTATTTTAGGTGTTCTGAATGGAATTGGTGCAAACTTGATAGCTAGTCAGCCTTTTACAATAAAGGCTCCCCAGATGGTCAATCACAACATATCACCAATGATCAACACCTAAGAAAATTCATACACTCAACTAAGTGAGTGATCAGTGGTAATGATTGTGCCATCAATTTAAATGAAACAAACAATTCAACAAATGTACTTCTATTGAGGTTTCCAATGAAAGCATGCCAGGATCTTTGCTATGGTATTGATGTATAAGATGTATGGGTGTGTGTGGCAAGGGTTCTTGCCCCTTTTTCTTCTTAATAATACAAAGATACACAACTCTCCTGCATGTTCAAGAAAAAAAAGATGCTCCAACTCTTGATAAAATTTTGGCATGTTCTATAAAAATATTAAAAAGGTCGTACCCAGTGCAGAGAGTTCCCGCTCTGTGCGGGGTCTGGGGAACGGCGTCAGTGGTAAGCCTTACCCTCGCCTGTGCAATGCGAGGAGACCGCGACTCGAACTCGGGACCTTCCGGTCACAGGCGGTAAGACTCTACCGCTTGCACCAGGCGGCCCGCCCTTCTCTATAAAAATAGGGAAAATTGGTTGTGGGACACTGGAGAAACACGTAATTGGCCAGTGAACACTGCCAAAGTCAAAATTTGCTGGTAGACTTTACAAATTCGTGGTTCTTTGCTGGAAGACACCGCACCGATTATTTTATTCATTTTTCCGTTTAGAGGAGAGAGAAGGTGGGGGAAATGTCTAAACTGCCCTTGTCTTCTTCAACCTCTGGTCGTTCACTGGTCGTTCACTGGCCGATCAAGCAGGCCAGTAGGGGGTTGGCTGCCGGCGGTGACCTGCCAGCAGGGGTGGCCGTCCGCCATGGCCGCGCCCGAGCAGGTCGCGCCACGTGTCCGCAGACGTCGCCTGCCTCCGTCGTCCATCAAGGTCATGCAAGCCTCCTCACCTCCGCCTGCCTGTCTCGCGCTCATCCTCTTCCCGCAGCGTCCAGCCTCACAAGGCCTCAACCTCCGCCATGGCTGCATGGCGGCCTCCTCACTTCCTCCTCCTCTGCGCCTGCGTCTACTTGCCCTCCTCCGCCACGCGCCCGCCACGGAGACTTTGCCTGGCCGAGGACCGGCGAGTAGCCGTTGCGGGATGGTCCTGCCCGATGCGCCACCAAGGCCGGAGGAACTGGAGCGGCTGCTGGCGTGCTACCTGTGCAGGGGAGAGAAGAAAAGGGAGAGGGAAGAAGAAGAAGGCAGGGGCAAAAATGACATTTCGCCGCTCTTCTCTCTCATCCAAAGTCAGAAATAAATATTTTAATAGGCGCAGTGTCCGCCAGCAAATTTTGCAAAAAACAGAGTGTCTTTCAGCAAATCTGATTATTTTCAGTGTCCACCAGCTAAGAGAGGTCATTTTCGGTGTCCTGTGGCCAATGCGCCCCATAAAAATATTAGCTACATTAATTTTCTATGATGATTTGTCCATTTGTATACATGCATAGTAAAATCAAAGCATGAATGCATGATACCCTGTGAGTTCTCAGTGACAACCATGCATGTGCACAATGAATGTTAGTTATGTGCCTCCCTAATATCACTAAGCATGAATGCATGGTAAGTTAGGAGTAACCAAGTCGGCGTCCTACCTTTAGAACACTTTGATGGGATAAGTCATGTGTTGGCTGGTCTTTGTGGGGCTGTGCTAGTCACATGGTCCTTGTGACTGCATGGTCTGTTTTAGGACAACATCTTAGACTAGAGGACAACATCTTAGAGGACAACATCTTAGAGGACAGCATCTTAGCATCTAGGACAGCATCTTAGAGGACAACATCTTAGCATCTAGGACAACATCTTAGACTAGCATCTTGGCATATGCTTGGCTGGCTAGCAGCCTATAAATATGTACCCCCAACCTCTTAGGTTGGCATGACATTTGTGTGAGAAATAAAACAGAAAATTGCCTCAACTCCTAGTGTCATTCTCTCTCGATGAGAGTAAAAATTCTGCTACTACCAAGGATAAGAATTTAGCGACTAACAACTGGTATCAGAGTCGTATTATCCTGTAGCCTGAGCATCTCTTGCTCATCTTCTTTCCAGCCTCGCAACAGCCCCAGCTAGGAGTAGCAGCAGCTTCGGCCGCTCCTGCTCACTTCTCTCCCTCGGCCTTGCCGTCGGCAGCCCTCCCCCACGCAGCAAGAAGCCCCCCAGAGCACGCCATGTCCGCAGGCGATCTCGCCCTTCGATCGCCTCGAAACACGCTGGCGTCGGCGGGAGGCCGAACTTGCAGCGAGAGAACGCGAGCGAAGCGGCGGCAGAGACACGCGGGCGGCGACAGAGACAACAAGGGCGGCGCAAGGCGCCGAGGCGGGTAATGGCGGAGCCGGCAAAGCAGTGTGCGGCAGGCGGAAGCAATGGCGGCGGCGGATGCACCACGCGTCTGGGCAAGCGAAGGTCGAGGCCTGCGTGGCGCGATCGCCAGCCTCTGTTTACTGGCGACAGCAGCGTGTCGTCGCGGACCTCGAGCTGCTGGGGAGGGAGGCAGGACGAGCGCGGGCGGCGTAGTGGGCAGCCGCGCACGCCCACGAGCGCAGCGACAGCCCAGACAGGCGCGGACGCGCCGGCGGTGCTCCTGGAGGAGGCGCGCACGGCGGCGGCGCTCCTGGAGGAGGCGCGCACGGCGGTGGCGCTCCTGGAGGTGGCGCGCACGGCGGTGGCACTCCTGGAGGAGGTGCGCACGGCGACGGTGGCGAACGGGTCGATGGAGACCGCGGCCTTCATAGGCAGCGTGGCTCTCTCTCCGGATCGGTACCGTGGTTACCACGGGCTCCAGGTTGTCGTCAGGGACGTCGGCACCGGCGGTGGGTGGCCTACCCTCACCAAGACCAACTACGTCGAGTGGGCTGCGGTGATGAGGGTAAAGCTCGGTGTGTGGCACATGTGGGAGGCGGTCCGACGACGGCGACGTCGACTACGACCTAGATCGACGGTCTTTGGATGTCCTCGTCGCCGCTGCCCCCCCGCCGAGATGCGCTCTCGCTACCAACAAGCGGATCGCCAAAGAGGCTTGGGACACCATCGCCGCGCACGACGCAGCGGCAGCAACCGCCGCCCGCAAGTCCACACCGCAGCACCGCAAGGAGTGGGAGAACCGACCTTCAAGCCGGTGAGGGCGTTGATGACTTTGCTCTCCGTCTCAACACTCGCTGCGTAAGATGGTGCGATTCGGCGATGACACCTACGGCGAGGAGAGAGAGTCGTCGAAAAGCTCTTCTATTGCGTCCCCGAGAAGTACAAGCAGATAGCTCGCTCAATCGAGTCTCTACTGGATCTCTCCACGATGTCGATCAAGGAGGCGATAGGTCGCCTCAAGGTCGTCGACACAATGATGAGCCACGCCTCTCTCGGGGCCCATCACCACCGGGCGGAAGCTCCTTCTCACTGGGAGCGGTGGCTTGCCGGCCAAAGGTGACCGGAAGAAGGGGGGAGCCTTCTTCCGCGACAAGCGACCGCAGCGTGGCAAGCCGCCAAGCAGAGCGCCTGAGACGCCGGCCGGGCGCGAGGACATGCCGAGGGTGATGCCCGCGGAGGCGCCAAGGGCGGCGCCGCTGGCAGGCACAAGCCGGCGCGAGACGACGCCGCCGCCGCAACTTCGGCCACCGCTGCCATTGGACCAAGGATCGCTGATACCACGACGCTGCCAGCCCACGTCGCCTGACAAAGTGAGGAGGAGCCGGCTCTTTTCATGGCACATGCAAGCATCGAGCTACCTCCAGCGGCACCGGCTGCAGCGGCTCTCCTCCACCTTGACGAGCCAAAAGCACACGCCCTCCTCGGTGACGGCTCCGGCAACGACAAGACTGACGGGTGGTGCCTTGACATCGGCGCCACCCATCACATGACCGGTCGACGGGAGTTCTTCACCGAGCTTGACTTTAGCGTCCGAGGCTCTGTCAAGTTTGGGGATGCCTCTGGCGTGGAGAACAAGGGCGTCGGCTCCGTCATCTTCAACGCCGTGTCTGGTGAGCACAGGCTGCTCACCGGAGTCTACTATATCCCCGCGTTGAGGAACTCCATCATCAGCTTGGGACAGTTGGATGAGAACGGTTCGCGCGTGGTGGAGGAGGATGGAGTCATGAGAATTTGGGATCGCCGTCGTGTCGCCTTCTTGCCAAGGTATCTAGAAGCGCAAATTGACTCTACGTCCTTAACGTGCGGTTGCACAACCCTCTCGTCTCGCGCTCGTCGGGGCGACGAGGCGCGGGCGATGGCACGCAGCGTTTGAGCACCTTCACTTCGATGCCTGAAGCGGCTCGAAGCCGCCACGGAGATGGTGCGAGGCCCGCCGTGCCTCGACCATGTGGAGCAACTCTGCGACGTCTGCGTGTTGACGGGCGAGAGCGACTCCCTTTCCCTAGTGGGCGAGCTTTCGAGCCAAGGAGAGGCTCGAGCTTGTGCATTGGGACTTGTGTGGCCCGGTGACACCGCCACATCGGGAGGACGACGCTACTTCTCTCGCTGCTCGTCGGCGACCTCTCCCGCTACATGTGGGTGATGGTCCTCGCGGAGAAGGGAGAGGCTGCGGACGCCATCGAGCGCCGCAGT